GCTGCTATCAAGAAATCAATCAATAACAAATGCTGGCAAGGCTGCGGGGAGAAAGGAACCCTTCTCCACTATTGGTGGAAATGTGAACTGGTGCAACCACTGTGGAAATTGTGGAGATTCCTCAAAAAACTAGGATTAGTGGTCACATTTGACCCTGATACTCCCCTGCTGGGTATGTTCCCAAAAGAATTAAAAGCATCATACCACTGCGACATATGTGCACCTATGTTTATAGTGGCACAATTTGTAACAGCTAAATCCTGGAAACAGCCCAAAAGCCCATCAACTGGTGAGTGGATAAAGAAGGTGTGTGTGTGTGTGTGTGTGTGTGTGTGTGCGCGTGTGTGTTTATAAAATGGAGTACTACTCAGCCATAAAGAAAGATAAACTTGAGACATTTACAGCTAAATGGATGCACCCTGAGGCCATACTCCTAAGTGAAATAAATAGGACACACGTGTAAATACTGAATCATTTTTCTGATGTGAGAAACTGAAGGTGTAAATGAGGACCAAAATGTATAACAGGTATTGTGAAATAGGAAGAAAATGTTCAAAGGGGAAGCGGAACTCGGGGGTGGGGAGAAGGGAAAGAAAAATATTGAAGGGAAGAAGGAAAAAATGGAAACAAAGCTTATGTATATGGGGAGCCAGAGGGGTTGAAGGGAAGGGAAGGTTATGGGAAAAAATAAGAATCAAGATATATCATGTATAGGTACAAATTCTCAATGATGAATGTGATCATAAGGTATTCCTAAATGTACCAATAAACTCAATAAAAAAAAATTAGAGATGGATAGCTTAGGTTGGAAGGCATTTGTTAACCAAAGCATTCCTGAAGAAACACATTTCCAAGTTTGAGACTGGAACTGGAGAAGGGAGGTTAAAAAATCCACTGTATTAGAAGTGCAAGGAAGTGTTCAGAAACTACCAGATGAGGGCAGCTAAGCTGCATCTACCCCAAGATGGGACAATTTGAATACCAATAAAGATACTACCGAAATAACCACAAAGGATTGTTTAAATCCAGGAGTTTATAATGAGGTTTAAAAAGCCACATAACTCTGTTCACTTTTGGAGCATGTAAGAACAAATTCATTAATTTGAAAAGAAAATTTTATTTCTGAGATGAACTATTTCCTAGGGTAACCAAGAGTTGATTAAAAAATTTAGTTTCTATACAAGTATACCAGAAATAAATGAAGAAATAATGATACAATGATAATACTGTCATTTTTAATTCATTCAGACTATGATTATCAGTGGCAATCAATGTCCCCAAAGAAGAGACAAGCAGACACTAGGTCTGTCTAATGGAAATGTATGAAGCCACTTATGAAGTAGTCATGCCAAAAATAATGAACACAGACCAAATTGAACTCTAACTACCAACTTACAGGTAATTACAAAGACAGAGGAAGTGTTAAAGGAGCCTAAGAGATGTAACCAAGAGAAGTTAGTTTGCAGAAAACTCTACAGGAAAAACATCCAAGATGCTTCACCCTCAAAGTTGTAAGGAAAAGAAAAAGGGCTTACAGATGAAAGAAACCTAAAGAGGCGTATCAACCAAGACAATATACAAGCTTCATGACGAGCCTAAGGCAACAAAGAGCTGTAAAACATTGCAAGACAATCAGGCAATTGGAAACATTGACTTGATATTTGATATTAAGAAATTATGTTTAATTATTTTTATTAGAATAATGGTGCTAGGATTATTTTCTATATACCATTGCCCTTCCAATTTGCTCATACCATAGCTACCTGTCTTCACAGCTGGATCCAAGTTCTGATTACTTACAATGAATTATGAGAGCCAAATGAATATTTTTTACTGTTCGTTCAGCAATGTCCTGAAGATAGTGCACACATGGTCCTACAGTCAAGTAAATATGAACGTGTTTCTATGTTAGAGAAAAATATTGCAAAATGAAATGACCTGAAGGCTGGCATATGATTCTTAATCAGGTAAGGGGAGTAAGTGGTGTACAGAAAACATAAGATTGGTCATAAGCTGGTGAGTGTTGGATCATCATTAAACTACTTGCAACCGTGACAACTGCTCAGTTGAAACCTTTGTAAAGAGAGACTACTGTTTCTCACTTCACATAAATCTGATCAACATAGGGGTGGTTGGGTGGGAGGGAAAGGAATGATGAAACCAACAAAACTCGTTTCTTGTCAGAACATTCTTCTTAGAATATGTCTATCAAAACAAGCTGAATGCTACAAAGAAAACAATGCTGATATTTTAGCAATATTTTTGTCTAATAATTTTAAGGTTTAAGTCAAGATCCATATCTGCCACAATTGTTAATATTCCTTTTTTTTAACTTTTATGTAGCATTTGTTTTTAAATATCACTGGATTCTCATTTTTAGATGTTTTCCAACATGAAAGGTAATTTTAAACTATCTCACTGTCTTGCAATTTGTCCCAAGAATTAAGAACATGACAAAAGCCACATTAGTTTCTATAATAAGAAAAAGGTGGACCATAACATTGTTAAACTTTAAAAATTTCATAGGCTCAAAAGATAATTGCTACTCTTTTAAAAAAGGAGAGAGAAGAAATCTTAACTATTAAAGACCTGAACATAGGAGGGGGATTCATAAGTAATTTATACTGATTTATTTGTTGGCCGTGCATATTAAAGTTTTTTTAAAAAATTGTATTCATTTGTCCTCTACTTAAAAAAAGGGAGGGAGACGCACAATATTGTCCACATAGGTCCACTTCCTCTGTCTGGAGTTTTCAGTGGCACGTCTGTTTTCTAAGCTGCAGAGAAAGTCTGACTGTTCACAGTCTGGTGGAGTTGGGTGTCTTGAGTGCCACCTGCAAGGGCTCCGCTACTTGCTACCCATCAGACACTGTCACATGTGACTTGGTGTCCGGGCTGGCTGGTAAAATGACCTGTGAGGCATGGCTTTACAGGAAGTTTTCACAACCAGCTTCACCACCACAACTGCCACACTCATGTGATCTTCAGGTACCTGCAGTGTGTAGACTTATGAGGATTAACACCATAATTCACCAGATTTGTAAGGAAGGTTGCATTGAACAACATGTAGAATTTCCTCATTAAATATACATCTCAATGGCTAGAAGAACTCTCTACATGAGACCATGCAAAACTATATAAATATTTAAAAGGATTTTTTTAAGCCCTCACAATTCTTCAGTATGCATTTCAAACTTCAATACTATACAGTTACAAGATGACAGTGTGTGACAATTTTCTGTGGAATGAAACCAATTTGTGTTCTGAAAACTATCATACTTCAAAGACCAGTGTAAAAATATTATGGAAAATCTCAGTCTCCCACCTGAAACCACGTTTACATTCACACATTTTCAGGTGCAAAGTGTGGACAGGCATGGGACCTTTTTGATCTCTCATAAAGAACTCAGCACAAATCTTTTTAGGACAGTGATTGGTGAACCTTTTAGAGACCAAGTGCCTAATCTGCAGCCAAAACCCTCCTATTTATCCCAAAGTGCCAACACTGCTATTAAACCTGAACGCTGAGGTTTTAGTTTGGAAAAAAACCCTGTTTTTCAATGATCAGCTGCTGGGGCAACTTGTTTGCATGCTGACAGAGAGGACTCTGCATGCCCACTGTGGCATGCAGGTTTGCCACCACTGTTCTAGAAGATTCCTTTCTGTAGGACAGAGAACACTCCCATTTGATGAGAAACCAACATTTTTTAAAACCAGTTTTCTAAGCTAAAAGCCAGTGTAATAAAGGGAAGGAATCTTATTTACACTCTGCAGCACTCTCTCATTAAGGTGTAGTAGCTAAGATCTACCAGCCAGGAATCAAATAGTAATGTATTCAACCTAAAGTATGAATATTGTACATCATCAGAATTTTGCTGAGTTCTGCAAAAGAAAAAGTAGAGACAACAGGGTGTGGGCAACATCTCTAATGAGTGTCTTACTATTACACTGCCACGGTCAGCTATTACAGAAGAGGCAAAAGTCCGCAGTGGGTGCATGCCAAAAGACCAGATTGTGCCTTATGTGTTCTAAAAAGAAATCTTGCAATTAAAAAATGTGACACTTTTTAACTCAAAAGGAACTTCATTACTACTCTACACATAGACTGCACTGGCATTCTCTTACTGGAATATATCTGAACTATTACATGATTAAATGTCTATATGATAATGTAATGAGAATAAGTGACCCTCACTCAGCCCAGATAATTCTTAAATATCACAGTCTACAAAAAATATGGGATGCTTCATGAATTTGCATGTCACTCTTGTGCAGAGACCACGCTAATCTTCTTTGTATAGTTCCAATTTTGTATGTGCTGCCAAAGCAAGCACTAGTATTCCTTTTATAATAATCCTTTCATTACCCTGCATTCACTTGATCTTTGCAGCTAAAGCACTGTCATATATTTTCTGTATGCTGTTCTCTAATTATTCAGCAGTTACTTTGAGTATATGTATTGTATCCTCAACTGCATAACATATTTTCCACAGGGCAAAGAATAAGCTTTTCATTTTCCCCATACAGAGATTCCTAAACAACCTTTGCTAGAGGAAGGAAAAAAAGAAGGAAAGAAGGAAGGGAGGGAAGGAGAGAGGGAGGGAGGGAGGAAGAAAGGAAAGGCAGAGAGGGAAGAAAGCAATGTGCGCCTACAGCTGAAATACTGCATTGTTAGTTGAGCTCTAATTTGAATAAATAGTATTTCCGAGACTGAATTTAAAAATGAATCTTCAAAGTGAAATGAATATTAGGAAAGATTCATAGTTTGGGCAGTAAAAATGAATCATTGGTATGAGACCAACAGTAAATAAAGAACAATAATTAAAGGAACTTGGTCCAACTATTAAAATACAGACTGAAATGATCAATTAACCTCAACTAGAAATGACTTGGTAAGATTTTATGTAAGATTTATAATTTTAAGGAGCAAAATTAAGTACATAAGTAATAAATTCATCCCCACTTTAACAATATTTGTTATTATTAATGAATAAAATTACCTCTGAGTAACTTGGCGAGAGATATTTCCCATTGCATTTAGCAATGCGCCTCAAAATTTTTAATGCTTTGTCTCCTTCCTTCCGAGTAATCAGCCAGCGGGGAGATTCAGGAACCACCCTAGTAAAGAAGGAGGTTTTTTTGAGTTATGTCAGGAATTTCAAAACCTAAAAGTTTATGACGTGAATTTTTCTATCAAAATGCATCTTGCAGTTAGGTACAGGTTGCAATGATTCTATGAGCTGACAGTAAACTCTCTGAAACATAGACTATCTTTGCAAATTTTAATGAATGAAAAAATGTAAATTTTGTAATTGGGTCACTGATCATAAAAATAATATTACATTGCTTTTGCAAGACCAGGCTGTCCTACAATATAGTATCTCTAGCACATATATGAAAAGAATTGGGGTTTAGTGAGTATTAGGAAGAAGTTAATAACTTGATTTATGTAAATTGATTTGCTGACAGATTAAAATTAAATGAAAGGAATGATTAAAACATGTCTGCATTAATAAGAGTCAAATGCATATACCTGTACCTTCTTGATAATTTAATTTCTGATGCTCTTAACATTTTCTTATTCCTCATAGAATTCTTGAGTCATGTTAATTCGCTCAATAAAGCATACAGAGAAGCAAATTAATTTAATTACATTCAATTTGCTTTCTGAAATACTGGCAGATATAGTTTGCTGCTTCATGGTTTTCATTAAGATATTGTAAAATAATAAAATACAACGCAATTCTCTAGATTTTTGCATTTTGGTATTTTATCACTTTTAGTAACAACCATTAATCTTATAATGAATAAATAATCACTATAAATTCTCAAGTACTTGGAAAATCTTCAAAGTCCATATCCCTTCTGGAAATGTTAGAAAATTTCCTTTATTTCTTTCATTTTCATGTTGGCTTAGATTCTACATTTCTGTGGAATAAGTATAAATATGATAATGACCAAAACCACATTACCAGTAATAAAGGAGGAAGAGAAAGTTGGGCAGCGTTATGGCTAGTTGCATCCCTTGCCAATTGGGGATAAAGTAGGCAATTCCAGGGAGAATTATGATTCCAAGGGTGAAGAACATTTGAATCACTATTCCCACAATCCTCCTTTGTTTTGAACCTACTATTTCTGTCACTGAAGGAAAACAAACACAAGAGGTTAGAGGAGCTCAAGATCAGCTCCAAAATAAACAGAGACGTGACACCTGTTTATCCATTAGCATTTTGAGAACACTCTAGAACTCAAAGATACTGAGGCTTCCACACTTGCTGAAACGATGGAGATACACTTTCCACTTTCCTTAAATGCCTCTGTCTCAGTCTCTCCTCTGCCATGTTCCTCTTAGGTACCCAGCTTGGTACCCTCCTGGGTATGGTTGGGCAATACAAAGAATATGCGCTGGCTTTAGGGAGACTTCAATGATGATTACTTTGGAAAGTAATTGTAATTGTCAAAACAATATAGTAAACTGCTAAATTTTTATCATTGTGTCTTTAAAGATTTACACATTATAGTTTACAGAGGTTCACTATGAACATCAGATTCTACAAATGCTTTTCATTATAACAAGATAGTTTTTATTAAGTGACAATTCTTGCCACAGTGTTAGACTTCTCATTTATGTAACATTTCTTTTTAAAATCATATGGGAAATTTTATTGCTAGAATCCTTCCTCCTCTGCCCCTTCCTACTCATTGATTTATTCTGCTCTGGTCATCCTGGGATAAACTATCTTAATGCTGTCCTAAGATCACAACTTGGAACATTCATGTATATGTGGGTCTCCTTAAAAATGTCTCACATTCCAAAGCTGTCCCTTCTGCTCCAGTCAATGACAATTTCTCTTAGCATTCCCTCTCCTTTTCCCATCCATAAAAAGGTTTTGAAAAGATTTTAAAATTAGGCATTGCTTGGGTATAGCAGTAATGAAAGAGTGGCCTCCAAAAATCTAGAGCCATAATTCAAGAAGAGCCTTCCCATTACCCTAGTCATGAATCTACAATGAATTGAAGTGTAGTAGGTGGATGGTCTTATATTAGAAATTGAGCCAAAGGGAGCAGCTGGACTTTTCCAATAATATGAGCAAAAAGTAGAGGGAAGGCTTTCTTTCATAAACAGAAGGTCAAACTTTCTAGGTATGAGAGAGAGATAACAAAGGCTCATAAACTTTTCATTTTTAGAACATATCTCCCACATGGTAAATAGTTCATATATATGAGAATTAAAAATCATATTTAAGGACAGAAAATACTTTTAAAATGTTTCAAGGAAATACTGAAATTTTTATGGGAATTAATTCCCAGTAAAGCAAAGCTGGAAAATGTGATAACTATGACAGGAATGCTCAGAGGTGGTTTATCACAGTATTTTATGATGTTTATATTTAGTTCCCAAATTAAAACAGCATTTCAGTCTCCAGAGAAGTCAGAAGCCTGCTCTCAAGCCCTTCTATTTGCAATTACTGTCACTGTAAGGAAGTCTCTTGTAATTACTGTTAAAGGAAGGCCCACTTGGCAACATTTCTTGGCCACCTGACCCCAGTTCCCAAACAGAGAAGAGGGTATATCAAAGTCTTACCAATCACGTAGCAAGTCATCCATGTGCCCTTTCCAAACACACCTTGTAGGAAGCGGAAGATCACAAACACAGGGAAATTTGGTGCAAATGCCACCACAACTCCGGTAATGCCCACACCGAAACAGGATATTAAGTAAATGACTATTCTGCCATACCTTTTAGAGAAAAAGACAGGAAAAGAGATGACCTTAAATTTTTTCTTCAATATGAAGGGGAAAAAAACCTTTCACTTTAGGTTTGCTAAGAGAAGTTGTAGATATAGAAAATGTGTTCTCTATAACTTCATTATTACAAAAGGAAAGGATTATGAAAAACTTTTATTTTATGGCAAAACTCAGGCAAATAAAATGCGTGCAATTAAAATGACATTACAAATCACAACGATGTTCACTGTAATTGCAGCTCCCCCAAATATGATTCAATTTCTTTTTTGTTTTGTTTTGTTTTTTGATTTGGACTTTTTATTTTTAAAATTAATTTTATTGGTACATTTTAGGTATACAATATAATGACATTCATCATTGGAAATTT